TGCTCTCTGGAGAACCCCGACTCTGACCGCAGGACTCTCTGCTCTTCCTTGCTCCGGTTCCTTCGAGACCCCCCGGTGCCCATATCACCCAGGCAAGACCTCCGGTGGGGGCAAATCTTTCCCTCATGGTGGGAGCTGGGGCAGGTGGGTCTATGTAACCCACCTCCATGGGCTCTACCATCCTTACAGGGCCAGTGTTGGCCGTGGGCAAGGAGCCATGCTGAGGGCTATGGTGAGCTGAGATGTGCCAGGGGCTGGCTGCTGCTCCTGGGGCTCTGGTGGGGCAACTGCTTTTGCCAGAGGATGCTTTGCCTCTGTAATAGCTTTAAGATCTCGTTATCTCCTTGCTTGGGGATGGCAGGGATGAGGAAATGGTTGCTCATACTTGTCCAGGGCTGGAGAAATCTCCCGGGAGCCTCGTGGGCAGAGTAAGTGCCAGAGATGAGGATGCTGCCTCCGAAGCATCAGAGCCTCTTTGTTTTCCCCACTGGCATGATGGGGAGTGGGGACGAGCTCCTGTGTGTCACCTGCGCTTCCAGGGCTGCGGGCAGCTCGAGCGATCAATGCCCCATGGCTGCTGCAAGCTCCTTAGTCTGTTAATCCCTCTCTCCTGCTGCCAGGGTGCTGCCAGCTCTGAAACGCTTCCCAAGGCTGGATTGGGACAGGTGAGCTCAGCAGCAGGGGCAGTTAGTGTCATCTGCTCCTTCATGAGGTCTGCAGCATCTCCTGTGCCACTGATGGTTCCTTCATGTTCCCCTGGCCAGGGCATTAAGCAGGATGCACTCCTGCAGGCAGTGGGTGCCCTGCAAGCATCCCGCAGGTCCCTGTTTGCCCTGACAAGCAGGAGGGTTGTGCTGCCTGATCCCCGGGGGTTCTTCCTCTGTGGGTGCCTGAGGAGAAGAACAACAGGCTCGAGATGTCCCCTTCATCCTGCTGCAGCCATCCCAGCTTGCTGTGATGCTTGAAGGCTCAGAGCTGAGCTCAGGGTCAGCTCGTGTCACAGCCAAGTGGCACTGCCTGTGCCAGCCGGCGTGGCCAGCCCCGTGTCCCTGCTGCCAGCGTCCCCGCCGGGCGGGAGGAAGGCCAGCAGACAGGAGCGGGGAGCGGTGCCAGACAGGGCTGGAAGCAGGTTCAGCGACAAGAGGTTTATCCTGGAAGGAGGAAATGAGAAAACTCCAGATTTGCTATTCCAAAGTCCAGGGCTGCAGCGTGACCAGCTGAGCTGATGCTCCAAGCCCTGGAGAGGGGATTTTTGCTTTCTGTGAAATTAAAAGCTTAATTCTACTCCCTGGGAGAAAGACAGGCTGCTGGCCCCCGCCCCCTGCATCGCCCTGCAGCCCAGAGGTTTCGGTGCTCGTTGCCCCTGCAAAGGTGGTGTATTTTTTCCCATTCCCTTCTTCCAATCCAGGTCTCCCATCCCCGTGGCTGCCCGTGGCTGCGTGCTGTCGCAGTGCGAGCCGGGGCTAAGCTGTCCCGTCCTGTCTGTTGCACAGATGCATTTTCTCTTGCCTGTGGGCAATGCCCTGGTGAAGGGAAATCACAGTGCCCTATGCATTGCTGGGCAAGGTTGGGTTTTCAAGACTATAAAGCAGTTTCCAGCCAGGAAAACAGGTTTTTAGGCTGTTTTGGGAAGGGAAGGAGTGGGAAGCGTTTGGAGGAGAGTTTAATAGTGCTCCTGTTGTACAGGGCACTGGCTGTGTTTATGTGGAGCTGGAGCTGCCTTATAGGAGCAGCAGCTCCGGGTGGCATTGCTGCTCCTATAAGGCATCTTCGGCTCCGAGATTCCCCAAGAAGGTCAGGCAGGGAGCAAGGGAGGGGAGGAAATTCCTCCTTTGCTCATGTTGGGGAGTTATATTTAGCCCCGGGGATATCAGCCTCGCTCAGGCCTCGCCACGCACCGTGTGCTGGGGGAGCAAGGGCTGCCCTGGGCACATGTGTCCAGCGCTTGGTGCTGCCTCTCCCCATTGTCATTCCTGGGTACAGGAGTGATTTGTCTGAATCCAGTGGGATGCAGCTGGGCACGGGGAAGGCTGGAGGCTAACAGCACCCGAGATGGGGCACCGGAGCCCTGACTGTTTTGGGTGCCCAAGGTGAGGAGCAAGAGGGGTGTTTGCTGACCACGTCTGATCCTGCTGCCTGCGAAAGAGCTGACAGCGGTGCTGCAGGTGGGGAAGGTTCCCCACCTCCCTCCATCTGCTCCCTTCATCTTTTCTCAGTCCCAGCCCAGAAGAGTGCTTCTCTCAGGGTCGAAGTAGCAAGGAGCAGGCACAATCCTGCCCTGCTCCAGGGCTCCTCCTGCCAGGATGGATGATGCCCTGGAGGTGCTGGTGGGGGGTTTTCCCCCTGGACCTCCCCCTGCAGGTGTTTCCCCAGGGGAAAAGACACTGAGCTGGGAAACATCTTTGACTCAGAGCCATGTGAGCTCTGCAGGGGTGACTTGTCACCCACTCAGGCTGCCAGGTCACAGCCTGTTTCACGCGAGCGCGTGTGGCTCTGTCCCTGTGTCACCATCGTCTCCCTCCCTCTCTCCCCAGGTATGCTGGAGGATGGGAAGAAGTTTGATTCCTCCCGCGACAGGAACAAGCCGTTCAAGTTCGTGATGGGCAAGCAGGAGGTGATCCGCGGCTGGGAGGAAGGAGTTGCTCAGGTGCCTGGTGCTTCTCCACCTCGCGATCTCCCTCGTGGGGCTGTGCAGAGCCGCCTGCCTGGGGAGCTGCAGCGTGGGCAGAAATCAGTGTGCAGCTCCTTCTCTATTTTTTGTATTTTCTGTTTGATTCCCCTGTGTTTTCCACCCCTCCGCCCCCACAGCGCTGGGAGGTGTGGGTGTGAATATCACCTTCTGCATTGCCACCTGCCAGATGGCAGGAATGGAGCAGGGCCGGGCCCCAGGAACACCTACAGCACGTTGGTGACTCAGCGGTGACATTTCTCTACTGAGTCAGCTCTGGAGGAACACGACAGGGAGTGCTCAGGCCTCCTGCTCCGAGCGGAGATGGCTCCTGGGCTGCGAAGCCCACGCAGAGGGAGGGCTGGTGGGCACAGCACGGCTTCAGCTCCTGCGTGCGTGACTGCAGCCAGCTCCGTGTGCTGCTGGGGACACAGCACGAGGGTGCCAGTGGCTGTAGGGAATGGCCTGGCACTCCCTACCTGTCCTCGAAAACACTCGTGTGAAGGACATCTCAAGCCCTGCTCTTTTTCCAGCCCGTGCTGTCTGCCTTTCCCTTCTGATGTTCTTCCCATTCCTCTTCTGTCCCCTCCAGTTTGCCCAGCCTGGGTCCTTGCTCTTGCCCCAGTACAGGGAAAGGAATGGGGACAGGTCTGTGTCCCTCTTGCTGTCATTTACCCGGTGTTTGTCCCCATCTCTTGACATCTGTGTTTCTTTCCCTGTCCCCAGATGAGTGTTGGTCAACGGGCAAAGATGACCATCTCCCCAGATTACGCCTACGGCTCTACTGGCCACCCAGGGATCATCCCACCAAACGCCACTCTAATTTTTGACGTGGAGCTCATGAAATTGGAATGACCTACCCCAGCACCCTGTCCTCGGGTAAGGAGGGGCAGCTGCTGGCGGGGAGTGCTGGGACTTGAGACCCCCGTCTTTTGCCTCGGGCTAGTGTGGGGAAGTGGGATGGAGGTGATGTCAGGGGGGTATGAGAAGGAGGGGCAGGCAGGTTTCTGGCTGTGGCTGGAGTTTGCTCTCAGGAGGCTGGTGAGCTGGGGATCGCTATGGTGGTACGAGCAGAGTTCCCAGCCTGGCAGAGTGGGACTGTGCCATGATGTTGCGGTGCCGGCTGGCTGTGCCTCGAGTGGGGCTGTGCTCTGGGGTCCGTGGGTCCTGCAGTGTGGGCAGGATGGGGCT